TTAGACTACAAACGTCTTGTTTAAAAAAGACAAGAAAACCAAAAAAATAAATGCATCATCCGTGAATCGAACACGGGCCTCATCGATGGCAACGATGAATTCTACCACTAGACCAATGATGCTTCAATTGTTGAAAACTTGAAGGATTATTGTTTCTTTAAAGCAAAAGACATAGAGATGATGATGATCTACAAGACCTGAGAGTCATGAGAAGTTTAACCAAACAAAAAAGTTTCAAATACTTCCTAGGGGTCTAACTTATAATTATGATCAGGTTATCATGTCAGTTTCGAACCTTAATTGGCCCTTGAACACCATTCGTCGATCATAACAACCATCGGGTTAACGGTCATAATTTCTATCAAGCTTGGCCTGTATTTTCCGAAAGTACTGGTGTGTACCCAATTACTACTTGGGTCGTATCTCCCTTGCATACCTCTGTGATATCTTACACCTTGTACTATCTACCTTGGCAGAGGATCCCAATGATTTGGTATATACAAGATTCCCAGGACAGTAAGAGTCCCTTTGCTACTGCACATTTGACTTGCCGGGAGGTTATAACTGGCTAAGGTGACCTCGATATACTGGCAGCTGGGCCATCCCTTCATACAGGAGAAGAAAGGGATAGGAAACTGACGTGGACCATTGGATGCTGGAAGTTACTCTGGGTTCTCCATTACCCAATACAAGCTCAGATGGCCTCTACAAGACTCGTCGTACCCAATTATCTTGGCTGTTGTCAATCCTCACGGACTCATACCCAAGAGAATTTCTCAGCCTCCCTACGATCTTGGAATTCTGGTAGAGAGTCAAGGAAGGACCGTGCATAAGAAAAAAATAAAAAAATAAAAATAAATAAAAAAAACTGAAAGAGTATATGGAAACAAGGGAAAAAACAAAAGGAAAAAAGAAGGAAAGGAGAAAAGAGAGGGACAAGCCCACTATCTGTATACGTGCTGCATTGAAGAGCGAATAACTACATCGATACCCGCTTTGTTATGAAAGAAAAACAGAGTAAGAGTTGATTGCAAGTGGTCGCACCTGAGCCATACAGCGCCGCATCATGGTCTCACTAGGAATTTCCACAGCATGGACTAAGGACTCTGCTGCATTCATTCTTTAGAACCATTTCGCAGCTATCATTGTAGGACTCGCGGACTACAATCTTGAAGCCGTACATTCAAGCTCCTAAAGTCACCGTCAGAATTGTGCAGGTAGCAGCAAGACCACACTGCCTTCAATTATTTATGAAGTAAGCAGACCTCACTTCACCACCCAATATCTGAGGCTATAAACAGAATAGAATCAACTACCGAAGGAAAGCCGCCAAGAATAAGCTTTCCTACTGCTGGAAGCTTTACTAATGAACACCGGAAGATCTCGTCACTACCATAGATGTCTACAAGTGACTCCGTTGGTTTGAGGGGATAATGGTCTAGAACTCTCTCTTGTGCTGGGAACCAGTCAGCATGAAGGGCCTAGTGGCTCGCACACTACGTACTAATACACGGAAGCGTGCCTGCGTGGAAGGGTTTTGTCCGGATCACTTTGATTTAGCCCGGGTAATAGTGTACTGATATAGGTTCTTTGAACTTGGTATTCAGCATACCGGTGTTTCCTGTATCACCGGAAGTTGAAGCTGAAGTGATGCCAAGTACGAAACCCTTGACGTTAACTTGCATGGATGAGTCATCCTCGTGTTGCTACCTCGCATAGCCTGCTTAGACCTTGGCCGGAACAAGAATACATATGCCTGAGTAGAAATGGCTGGAAAACGCAAAGAAAGAAATCTGCTTGCTCCAGACATCACGGAAGATGCGGCAGAGCGGAAACGAATCCTGAATGTACTTGCCCAAAGACGATACCGTATGTCACATATCCCAGCAGAGAACAGGTATCTCATTCTGAATTATGGCAGGACAAAGAAAAAAACATCGAATCCAAGCCCTGGAAGCGCAGCTAAAAGATGTGTGTCCGCATAATGCAGAAATAACGTCTCCCGGGGTCGAGAAAGATAGAGGTGGCATAGGTCCGCCAACAGATGTTTTATCTCCCTCGTCAACTCCAGTTACCTTGGATGAGAGTAATACTATAACCTCAGACTATGAAGGCCAAGAAATGACAACCTCAATGGGTGCTGAGACCTGTCCCGCTGGTACGGCTTCCGGAGTCAACGATAGCACTCTGGTGCCAGAGTTCTTCACCGGACCTTTCCTGCCCGCCGTACCACATTTACTCCCTTCAGAACCACCAGCGCTTGGGTCACCAGTCATCACTGCTCTTTTTCCAAGGACCCCGGGGCAAACATCTCTAGGTTCATTGATCTACACAAGTGGTGCTCCTTTGGAGGTCTCTCCATTATCACTATTCCCAGGGCCAGAAAACTCAGCTCAAGGCCATAGTGACGGCGATTATGTACAGTTTAATAGTTTGTTTAGTGACCCAGAGAGTGCGCACAACATTTCGGATGATCTACAAGACTACCAGTCTTCTAATTTCACGTTTCCCGATGATCACTTGCTCCAAGTTCCCTCCCTTACCCTTCTGAGTGCGGCAGTTAGGGTAGCTCAGAGGCTAGGCATCGGAGATTGCCTCTGGGATATTGCTGCGGTGAGCCCATTTCACAGGCCACTGGTTTACACTCAATCTTCTACTTCGCCGCATTGCTCGCTGCTTTCTTCATCGACCTCTTCTACCATACAGACATCAGACCCAAGTCAAGCCAGCGACGGAGGGGGTACTAATAACACCGACCTGGAGACATTGCCTGAGCATCTACGGCCAACCAGAACCCAAGTTCTTATCTCACATCACCCCATTTTAGATCTCCTCCCCTGGCCTACTGTCCGGGATAAATTGATCCAAGTGTTTAACCTCCCTGTCAATCTACGTCCAAAGTCAGCTCAGGATCCAATGGGACTTGTACGGCTGATATATGATATGGAAGACGTCGGAGGAGAGGGAATCAGAGTTCACAGCGGCGACCCATTCGAGGTGGCTGGTTGGGAAATCGGACAACTGATGTTTGAAAGGTGGTGGTGGGCCTTTGAGACAGACACTGTGGAGAGAAGTAACCGCGGAAGAAGAGAGAGAGGCGAGAAATGCCTAGAGCTTTCGTGAACTAATGCAATTCTGAGCATGTCGAAACGAGCAGAAATTAATCTTGCTCTCATAATTAAAATTAATGGGTTGGGCCTTACATGCCTGATTGTTTCATTGCATGCTTTGAACATTGATCCCCATGCAAATTGGAGGGCATGAGAACTGTCTATCTTCTCTTTCATGTTGCCAGGAAGTTTCGAAAATGATATTCTTCGTTGAAAGAATTACTGATCACTAAGCCAACCATCTCGAGCAGAGTACACTGCTGTATATAAAAACTTGAATTTAAACCATGTTCAGTCCCCCGCTCGGGCAGATAGTCTGACCTGTCAACCAACCCGCCTTCGGATCAGCCAAGAAGGTGACGACGGCAGCAATCTCCTCCGGAGTCCCAACTCTGTTCCCCAGAGGTGTGCTGTCCAGGATATACTTCACCAGCTCATCAGGCACCGATCCCCGAAGCATGCCTGACTCCACGGCCCCGGGGGCAACAGCATTGACGGTATGGCCATAAGGTCCCAGCTCGCAAGCCAAGGCCCTGGTAAACCCTTCCACAGCTGCTTTCGTAGCCGAGTAAATGGAAAACCCCACCGAGCCTCGACGAGCAGCGACAGAGGTGATGTTGATAATGCGCCCTGGGGCACGGAGATATGGCAACACGGCCTTAGTCATGAAAATGGAACTGCGGACGTTCACATCGAACATAGAGGTGTAGTCCTCCATTTCTGTGTCCGCGAGAAGCTTGCAGTGTGAATGTGCCGCGTTATTGACAAGTATATCCACCTTATCCTCACCTGAGGGAAATGCGCGGAAGGTTGCTGAGAGGATTGTTTCGGGGGCTTCTGGCTGATGGAGGTCGATTCTCACTTTGGTGGCATCGGAGCCGTTGTTTAGACTACGTATCTGATGTATAACTTCATCAATGGCGGTTTCACTGCTGGTTGACACGTAGGTGAGCACGACCTGCAAGTTCGTGTTAATAGCTAGCTCTAAGGATTTAATGCAGTATGGAAATGCATACCTTTGCTCCCTGTTTTGCAAGCTCTGATGCAATCCCAGCACCAATCCCGCGAGAGGCACCGGTCACGATAGCTATCTTGCCTGATAGGCTCATGATGAAAGAGTAGGTTGTATGCGCGATGTATAAAAAGTCTGGTTGGTTTTAAATATGAGAGTCGAGTGTATGATTGTCTTTTCTGCCACAGGACTCCTACTGTATATATAGTTTTCTTAACCTGCAAACCTCTCGTTATGCCAAGAATGACATAACGTTAAGCTTAACGTTATCTCACACATCATGATTCATGCTGCTGACGTTGGGAAGGTTTAATTAACTAACGGTATGGCATAATTCCAGGTGAGTAGGTTCCTTAGGTGTTTTCAAGGTGGTTGTATTCCTGATTTCGTTGTTCGATTTGTTCACTTATACTTCAATCCTCGAGCGTTATACAATTCTACGGATACCTGCAATTAGGGTCGAAACTCGGGAGATCTCTAACCTTTCTACATGATATACACTAACTGTATTAAGTATGGAAGCTACAGGGCTATAATATCTGGCAGAGAATACAAGCGTACGAGTAAGAGAGGGTGTTTGGCGGCCTCGGGCAAGAGGAGAAGGGCGGCAGCCCTACCCTCAATAACCAAGAAGTTGTTTCCCGCCGTACCAAATTGTCGACGAAATCCCTCTTCATAGAAATTGTATGCCTGTCTAAGGTTAGTCAACTTGCAGGAAGACATTCACTGTGTCAAGAAATGTAGGTACTTCATCAGCCCTATGGCATACAAAATCTTTTTTATCTTAACAGTCCAAACCCCTGACACTTTTTCCCAATGGATTAACTTCTCATCTTAATCCACTTAAGGAGGGCTTCTGGCAGCTGCCATATATAAAAATGCCTGAGTTTCTGAGTCTCCCACCAGAACTCATCTTTCATGTATACTGCAGTCTCGATTCCATCGGCGATGCATATTTTCTCTCTCAGACCTCCAAGCAGACGTACTATATCGTCAGCCAACAAAAGAGCCAGCCAAAAATCTTCGACGCAATTATAGTACGCTCTTATAACCCAGCTACTCTACCTCTCCCTATCAAATCAGCTAATAGCCACCTAGGATAATATTACACAAGACCCTGCCCCAGCTCAAGCCTGGCTGGAAGCACAGTTTGGACCTGGCTCACTTTGGCAACCTACAGAGGCTACTCCACCAGTGGATCTAACAGACGACGAGACCCTTGAATTTCTCCTAGATGTGGGGTTTCCTTTAGTTAATCTCCCCCGCGTGGGCTTTAACTCTATCTTTTTGAGACAGTTTGTCGACGAAGAACAGAGATTTTATGGGTGTACGCTAGATGATCTCTATATAATGTTTCATCCTGAAGAGAGAGACGAACTACCTGTACTTAGCCTTTGCTTCGGAGTAATATCTAGCCAGCTGGTCATGCTGAACAATAACAATGGCATTATATACTTCTATGATCTACTTGGGGGGCTTTATATGAACTGTGTCAGAGGGATAATTGCATACGTGCCGGATACTTTTGTAGTGTTATTGGGAATGGTGGTCGTCGTCACCAAGGATTTATGTAAAGTCTCACCGGATGTCTCTCAAAGGAATTTTAAGCGTGGGGTTGAGGTCCTTATGAACTCTCTTGATGTACAACGGAAGAAACTCGGGGATTATGACTTTGCCGTGGACTATTACTCTGAGTTTTGGGATGACGTATTTGATAATTCGCTGGGTGGTCGCCGAGGTTTCGGATTATATGTCTTCAATGGATTTGCTGGTATGAGTGAATAAATACTTGGGCTCATGGGTGATATATAAATCTGTTGATCAGTGGCAGATGCAGAATTATAGATAATTGCTTGGAGTGATTTAACTATCGGGTACTCCGTATACTTTAATGAAATTCAGTTGAAGGTCTATATGTTGTGGCTTCTATCTCGGTTCACAGTGCGGTATCTACAGTGACTCCAAACAGGGTATATCTAATCAAGGCATCTATTCGACAATATAATTACAGGAAATTCCTGGACTTATAATTCTAATAATGTACTATTCTCGAGTGGAAACCCCAAATATCAATATAGCATTGTACTATAAAACATCCAACACAGCAACATGCCAGTCATGTAGGCCAAATGTCAAACTAACCTTGTTATCTGAGAAGCAGAACACAAGAGACAGTGCAATACCCAACCTGAGGGCTACACATAACGTTGAATATACCCTCTCATTGGTAGGAGAAAGATATGATGGCGTGAAAGAAGCGAGAGGGAAAGACATCATCTCATAATCACTAATATTCTATCCTATCCTCTACTCGCTGATTCGCATTGACACCTCACAAGGAAGTCAACACGGAACCGTCTAGGCCACGAATGATACGAAAAACCCCCCAACCCGATTAAATATAGCAAAGCACCCGAAGAATATCTACTAACATAGCAGAGATCTCGTATCAGAACATGCCAGGTAAGATAGTACTACTATTTATTTCCATTAAATTCCCCCTCCGCCCAAACTGGCCCGTGCCCCAGCCGTTCTATGTACATACATTCTAACATTCTAGCCTCGCCTTTCTCATGCCCACGCATACCCACACCCACACACACGCCACATTCCAACGCATCTGACAACCGCCGATGCTAATTTCCTTCCAACACATTCCAGAAACGGCCAACGACGCAATTGGCTGAAAAGGAACATGCCAATGACATCACTTCTTTTCCGGACCAGGAAACGTGTTTAGCCCTCCAGCCTGGCACTGCCACTGCAGCGCCTCGTTCTATTCACTGGTGCCTGGTGTTTTCTTATTCGGGATGCCAGGCTGTTTCAGGTTCTGGGTAATGTAGGGAGGAGAGATCGGATTTGGCTCAGCCTTGTTTTTTGTATGTATGTATTACTGAGTAGGGAGGGTGTAATTGTTGGTGTGGGAATGCCGGGGTTGCACAGTGGGAATGGTGCTGTTTCAGCTATGTTGTACCTGCATTAGGTCTTATGGTTACTATCACTCCTATGTGGATTCATTGCTATTCTGATCAATCATCATAGGCCATAGTTTTACGTTAAATGACATTTCCTACCGTTGAAATGTTGGGACTGGGCCGGAAGGCTCGACGGTTGGGGAAAACGGCTCGTCTAGACTCTAGATATGTTAGGGTATTTTTTCATGAAGCCGCCCTTGCAAGCCGTAGCCCTAACTAATCTATTAAAGGATATCCGACACTGGACATCCATGTTCAAACATTACTAGTACTCTTTCTTTGTCTGATTCGGGCTCCATTTCTACAGGCGAATGAACTTCCAAGGATATAAATAGAAGTCTGACTGTACATAGCTAGTGCTGCATTGTATCTAGTAGTCGAATATTCTGACAGACAGATACGGAAAAGAATTTGAATACGGGTGCGTCGACATATACAATTACAGATCCATAAACGATTGTAATACTCACAGCATGCTTCGCACAAAAACAACTACATAAATGTATGCGCTTCTGATCCGATATCCCGATTAGTGTAGATCCCCAGAAGTGGGTGCCAACAGACATCGAGTTCACCGCTATCATATGATTGGATTAGCCATGACAGGATCGCTTGGCTACTATGCGATCGACTCATGGATAGCGCATGTTGTGTTGTTCAAGCTACGAGCCTTTTCGGACGGTGAAGCGGTTCTCGAGGGGCGTCCAGTCGATTGGTCCCATGTCTAATGACAGTGCAACCATGTTTAATGAACCTTATGCAGGCTGTAAAAGTGGTGGTGACATGGTCCCAATCACCGAGGTCAACCGCTTGCTGATCGACTGCCGTTAGATAATTGTTTGGGAATTGACTCTAGTTAGGCGATCATTCAGCAAGTCAAGGTCAAACGGAAACATTTTCGACTTCATGCAAGGGTCACACCCTCACAGTGAGGAGGAGGGGAAAAAAAAAGGAAGAAAAAGTGAAAACAAAATGGATCATCGAAGCATGCAGGATGACCTCATGCAGACTTCCCGTGCAGAACGCCCGGACTTGTTATTCGAGGACACGAGGGCAGCGGCCGTCAGGTGATGTTGAGCCATGCGCCCATCTTCACATCACGGGAGCAAACCAGTGGAAAGTATAGATAAACCGGGGTAAAACGGAGTGTTACGAGACATTTGGTTGTCGACATTTGGAAGATACTGGTTCATTGCCTCATGAGACATGCGGTATCCAAGATTATGGAGCTCGGTAGCCACGGCAAGGTCGGCGTCTATGATGTCGAATGATGTATTAGATCGGTCCTAGTATAGAGAAACCCCCCCGCATCCGACCGAATATGATGTAAAATCGAGATGGTATTCTATCCAAAAGAATACCAAGTTCAATTGTGAACTCATTCAGTAGGCTTTTTTGTTTTTCTTTTCTCTTCTTTTTTGCTGTCTTAAATTTTGTCTTGTCATGGCTGTGTTTCTGGGTGATGATGATCAGCCTCCCTTGAATCCTGCCTTATTTCCTTGGCGCTGGGCTCTGCTGTCATGGCCCGAGCTCATTAATCTCGGACGAATCCACTTTGCACCAGGCAACCAGCATTTTTTTTATTGTTTGGATAGGACGCTGAACGAATACGAGTAACGAAGGCCCATTTAAACTCCTGGATAGCTGAAGAGAAAGCATATTTATAGTTATCAAGAGATTCTTCGACCCAGGGAAACTGGATTGTAGTACGGGGTAAGACCAGTCCAGATTCCTTGAAATATATTAAATCGGATGAGTTACTTTTTGTTTTCAACCTGATACAGGCATTTATCGATAACATTCCATCCTTAATCTACTTCAGAGTAAGCTAATAACTCAGCCATGCTGATGCGTCTTATTAGATTAAAATAAGATGATATCACGGTGGCAGCGAGAGATGTTGGGGCCGAAGTGGAAACTGCACGGAGATACGGAGTAAATACTGCACAAAAGTCATTGAACGTGTTGTGGTCACCTGTCCCCCTTCTGTTTTTTCTCCAAGCTTAAGCTCCCTGAACTTGAACTTATGTGAGTATTAATTTTCTCGGATGCAGGATTGATCAGCTCCGCTCGGCGCGGCTTGCCGTGATCTTCCCATTGTCGTTTTTGGTTCGGTATGGTTCCAGTACCTTACCGGACGGTAATCTGGCCCTGCGCCGTAAGGTTATCTCATGTGCCCAATAATGTGCTACTAGTTGGGGAACTAGTTTTGACCTGTGGAGGGAAAAAACGATACTCATTACCTACACTGAGTACACTTTGACTACCTTCTTTCGGACAATGTCTTGGTAGCTCAGGGATGTCATGTCATCGGCTTATTGTTTACTAATGCGGTGTCACTTTATCTACTCCGTATGCATCTCCTCCTTTTTGACAGCCCCCAAATGCAGGTGTTGTTTGGGTGTGGAACTAAATCAAAGATGGTAGTTGTTTGAGGCCGAAAGAACCTTGTCGGGGATCGGAATTGCGATGGCTGGAAGACCTTTGTTTGGGGGCAGGTGAAAAAGGGAAAGAAAAATTAATAAGAATAATAAATAAAATAAAATAGAGCAAATGTTGGCTGACTTTGCCTTAGTGGCCACCAGGTTGACTCCGGCGGCTAGTATTGGCTGAGCCTCCTTATAAGAAAGTCTTACGATGTTGAGATGCTTCTAAGGACAAGGTAAACGTACTAATTGGGCACTATTACCAGATGGCCCGATCGGAGCCGCTTTTTGGATCCGCTTTCAGATCCATTTGAACCTCTACCATTTGCTTACTGCCCAAGAGTCTTGTTCGGACGAAGCTCTTGGAGTCTTGGACAATAAAAAAAGGAGAAGAGTAAAAGGACGTGCTCTTGTATAGTAGCAACTCAACTGCCACCAATACTAAACTAATTCAGGGACAGTGGGTCTTGGCCGCATGTTAATCGGCGATTTCTTTGGCTGGTCAGTGTGACCGTTGTGGATTAAGCGAAATTGACTTGGGAAGATCCTCGTCCTCCCGTTGGTGAAGAACGGAAAAGAGTGGGGTATCATTCCCAAATCAATGAAAAGGGTATCGTGATGATTGGGCCGATGGTTTAACTAGGATTGGAATGAAGTCGGAGCGTCTCGCCTCTTTTTTTTTTTTTTTTTTTTTTTTTTTTTTTTTTTTTTTTTTCTTTTTTTTTTTTTTTTTGTATTTGATGATGATGAGTTTTCCCTTTGGCTTACTGTACTTTTCAAACCACCAGGTACCGATATTCTCGACCAGACTAGTAGTAATTAGCCCCATGTAATCACCTCTGTCACATTTTTATTCTTTTTATGTTGACTCGGCGTCTATTATTGCCGTATCCTCCGAATCTCCGCTGTACCCGCCAATCATTAGATTGTCGTCGGTATGGGGCTGTCGGACGTTATCCGTCCCAGTGCCAGATTCTGGAGGAGATAGAAATTTTTTCGTAGTGACAGAATTATTTGATTTCATTTCTTTTATGCAGATTTTGGGACTCTCTCAAGGCACTCTCGGGTCCGGGAGTTTCCATCGCATCCTCGGCACCTCCTGAGGATGACTAGTCCCAATTGGGGACCGCGGCTTGCCCTGATGAGGCTTAGTGGTATCGAGAGGAGCACCTCAACTAGGTTAGTCGTGACGACAACGATACGAGCCAAATCCCGTAATTACGGATACGCTAGGCCCCGTAATCGTATCCGCCGACGTCCGTCGCCCCGTCGCTCTTCACCTTTGGCGCTGCGTTCCATCACCTGCAAAATCCTCACGTATCGTCTCATTTACTAAATACTTACTTCCCGGAGTCTTCCTCTCTTCTTTCCCTCCTCTTTCTCTACTCCTCCTGACTCTCCTCCGACCCTCGTCTACCTTCCTACCCTAATTCCACCACCACGAACTCTCCGGCTCCGTGGCCATCTATCCGCTTTGCGACTTGATCTCGTTCCTGGTTTTCTCAGTCTTCCGTCCGGCCCTTACGGTCCGCCTTGCGTCAGAGGAACCCTTGCAACGTGACCTCCACTAGAAACATCCTCGTTTGGCCGCTGGAGACCGGAGCTCGCGCTCCCAACTATAAACTAATTCACCTTTAATTTCTCCGCCTGTCGGTCCCTGTCGGTGATCAAAACGTTCTTCTCCAGGTGTCTGGTCCAACGTCCCGTTGACGCCTAGAACACGCCCCCCCTTTCTGTCAGCTCCGCCGAGGTTTTTCTGACCTTCAGTCCTCTTCTTCTCGAACCTCGCGGCATTCTTCCACCCTTTTCGAACCTTCTCTCGCCGTGAAGTTGTCCCTTCTAGAAGGATTTTCTCGAGTCTTGTGAAAGACTTGCCGCAGAGATGAATCCCACCCTTCCGTCATGGAAGGATCGGACGCAAAATCAGTTCGGAAAGCTTCAAATCCAAGTACCATGGCGCTCAATCCAGCTCTTGGTGCCGCACCGTATGCGACGGAAGATTCGATCGAAGCTGAGGAGTAGGATATCGCCCACCTCGTCGATATCTTCGTTGCAAACCTCGTTCTCGCCTGTGGACACGCTCCGGTCGCTACAAAGCCATCGGTGGACGACATACGACTTCCAATATCTGCTCTTGTTGATCGTCGCGATTTTCTCATTGACAGTCATTGAGTCGCCCGGGCCTTTGGGGAAGACTGCCATGTTTACTGCGTACATTGTGGCTCTTCTGCTTCCTATCACTCGTCAGTTCTTTCTGCCGTTTCTTCCGATTGCTGGATGGCTTCTGTTTTTCTACGCTTGCCAGTAAGTGAACTCGCCGTTCCCTCTGATATGGCCTTGTAAAGAAGCCAATTGCTAACCGAGTTGACGCTAGGTTCATTCCGAGCGATTGGCGTCCTGCTATCTGGGTCCGGGTGCTGCCGGCTTTGGAGAATATCCTTTACGGCGCCAACATTAGCAACATCCTGTCTGCTCATCAGAATGTTGTGCTCGACGTGCTAGCATGGATTCCATATGGTCTCTGCCATTACGGGGCTCCTTTCGTCGTTTCTCTGATTATGTTTATTTTTGGGCCTCCCGGCATTGTGCCCATCTTTGCGCGGACTTTCGGCTATATCAGCATGCTGGCAGTCACCATTCAGCTGTTCTTCCCCTGCTCGCCCCCGTGGTACGAGAACCTGTACGGTCTGGCACCAGCAGACTACTCGATGCAAGGTAACCCTGCAGGTCTGGCTCGCATTGACAAGCTCTTGGGCATCGATCTCTACACCTCAGGCTTCAAGCAATCTCCGGTTGTCTTTGGTGCCTTCCCATCGCTGCACGCCGCCGATTCGACTCTGGCAGCACTTTTCATGAGCCTGGTTTTCCCTCGCCTGAAGCCACTGTTTGTGACGTATACCCTTTGGATGTGGTGGGCAACCATGTATCTGTCCCACCACTACGCGGTTGACCTGGTTTGTGGTGGACTTTTGGCCACGGTCGCGTTCTATTTCGCGAAGACTCGGTTCATGCCCCGCGTTCAAACCGACAAGATGTTCCGATGGGACTACGACTACGTGGAATACGGCGATTCAGCTCGGGAGTATGGCTATGATCTGGCCGGCTACGATGGCGACTTCAACCTGGACAGTGATGAGTGGACGGTTGGCTCATCTTCCTCCGTCTCATCCGGCTCTCTGAGTCCCATCGATGACCACTACACCTGGGAAGGCGAAGCTCTTGCTTCCCCTGCCTCCGATATCGAGTCCGGAAGGCATATGTTCAGCCCGTGATTCAGCTTTCAACTTGCATATACCGCACTCGCGTTTTTCATCTACTGACGAACGGCGTTTTGACCATTTTACGACATGCTGGATTCTTATTGCATTGAGCAGATTTCGACACATATATTTTTAATACGCCTGGTTTCTTCGGCACATCCGGCTTAATGGCACCCCGGATCGCGCCGTTTTCCACACACACATCTTCAACTGTACATGCAAACGTTGTTGCGAAATTAGTTAGGGCTGTATGATGCGATCCTACAGCCCCGAATCTCCTTGAAACTCCGTCAATAATCTTAATTCTAAAGGTCTAGCGGACTTGGCGCGATTTTCGTTGCTCAGGAGCTTGAGCTTTCCTGGTGTCCTTGGAGTCATTCGCTTGTACACTGCTATCTGGATCATTCCAGATCGGACGATTTCGTCCCATTCCAACTACAGTCTTTCGCTATTCTTCAGCTGGTCGAGCGTTTTCATTCGCTTTTCTTTCTTGTACTCGGCCAGGTACATATACTTTTTATTAACATTCTTGTCGATCGCTCACACCATTGGCGCCTGGTATTGGAGACCATGATGGAAAGAGAAAAGTATTGGGGGCGCCTTTTGCGTGCACTTCACTCGTTGTGCTTATAAGGGGTTAATGCTTGTTTAATGACCTTTGCATTGGTATATAGAGCGGGGCCAGGACTGCCTGATTTCCCCCCCTCGCGTGGTGGTTTGTCTTGGAGCATTCTTCTATGAAGAGGACATTGGTGATGCAGAGCGGCTATTCTGATCCGATGCATCTACCAAGTAATGGAGACCTTGGGGAGGCATCGGTACTTCAAAGTGGCTGGGTGACGGATGCAGCGTCATCTTGCCCAAGGTTGCACACCCTTTGCTATTGAAAACACTTTTACGACTTGACGTTTCTCTGCTGGACACAAACATTCATAGTGGAATGCGTGCCGCAGAGTTCGTTGGATGCTTTTTATTCCATGGCATTATTATTAATTATAATCCCATCGGTAGCGTTATGATTTATGAAGAACTTTTTGTACATTACTTTGTTTGATTCTTGTGTATACATCTTGGCTTGGACAATTTCAATGACCTGAAATACTTATATGATTACTTTAGTAACTAGGTTGCACCTATTTGCAAGCCTTTACAGAGTAGACACTAAGTATTTCCTTCCATCGGTTAGTATAGGGAAATGTGATATGATAGTATTAGGTGACTGGTTTCTTAATGAATCTAGAATCACAGAGTTCCTTTTTTCTGCTAATCGGTTGAAACTGAATGATTGTTTGCGAGGCAGGATGTAAGTAGAAAACCGCGACTTTATCGAGCGGATGATACCAGCGCCTGTCCTGGAGAAACAGTGGAGACAAGCATATTCTCTGAAGGAGGATGAGGGTGAAAGTCAAAGGACGGAGGAAAGATTCTGAAGTTGAAAGGGCAGAGTTTATGTCTAGAGAACTAACCCTGGGAATGACCTAAGTATGAGTGGATAATGATGTACTTGGGCAACACTCACCTGACACGCTCTTGAAGCGACAACGTCCAGATCAGGCAGGAAGGAGGTGCTTGTAGGTGTTTGCTTATTACATAGAAATACCGCCGTTATCTATACAAAGTCCCCTTCTCAAAAACCCACTAACAGACATAAAAAGGACATAAACATCATCCGTTCACTAACCACACATAATACATAACAGGATTATCTCTTGTATAATAAATATATGCTAAGAATATTTCTTAAGAAAGAAAAGGAGAGGAAAACATGGGGGTATTAAATCTATTTATCTATTACTCTTCGAAGATCTGCACCCGGTCTGCGTACTCTTTGATTCTCGAGACGAAGGTTTCTTCGATTTCGTCGCCGTGGCCACCTGCTACGCGGAGGATGAGTTCGTTGAGGGAAGCTCGACCGAGGATGTCAACGTGATCCCCTTTTTGATCGTTAGCTGGAGTTTACAAGAATCGGGAATGGCGGTTTGTTGTTGTGTGTTGGTTGCATGTGATGTAGGGTCATGTAGTAGGGGGTGGAAATGGAGATATATGTACCTGTGTTTGGACCACCGCGTGGTGAGAACCTGTCTGGTTCGTGGGGCATTTCGAAGACCTTGATTTTGACTCCGGCGGGGTTGTACCGTTTGATATTCCATCCCTTGGCGCACATGTAGCCTGTGCTGAGAAGGTTGACGGTACCGTCGCCTTCGCCCATGACGACACCGTGGTCGACTCCGTCGCTGTTGGTGACCGTGGTGTCGATGCTGACGTTTAGGTTGACCAAGGGATCACGCTCCTCCTGGTAGTAGTAGCTGCGTTCGGTTGGTTTGCCGACGCCGTAGAAACAGTAGATCTTCATGTCCGGGGCCAATGGCAAACGGGCCTCGAGGGGGTTGAGCCATGTGCGAGGGTCGTTTTCGTTTGCTTCGACTTGCGCGGTGGTGTGTGCGACTCCGTGCGAGTAGCTGGTCTGGACTTGATTGCGGTACCATTCGTCGCTCGTGTTCAAGAGATACGCCAGACTTTCGGAGACTGTGAGATTCTTGGACGTCAGGGACGAGTTGCTCTGCTGGAACTTTAGCAGATTTCCGTAGCTCGTGTGCTGGCCGGGCTGGTCGTCCGGAGCCCAAGTTGCATTGCCCCATACAGCTTCACCGCCCTTGGGAAGCATGCTCGAGATGCCGGGCATAGCCCGGAAGATTTCAGCTCGTTCCTCCTTGGACAAGAACTTTTCCAAGCCGTACACGGCGAAGGCGTTCAGTTGAGCGGTATCCCTCATTTCACCCGAGAGGACGGCCGTCAGACCCTTGACGGCGCCCAGCATACATCCACTGATGTTGATCCAGGAGGCGATGTGTCTGTTAACCCAATCACTGCCTCCTTTACCATGTTCCGGATGTTCAACCCATTTAAAGAAATAGAAGAGCACCTGCGAGCCCATGCTGTGCGAGGCTAGGGCCACTTTTTCTCCTTTCACGAGAACGGCAGTCTCGATGTAGGACTTCAACCGACTGAAGTACTGGTCACGGATCTCCAGGTTCAGATATGACAGTCTCCAATCATAAGCGGCAGTGAAAGCATTCGTCGGATCATATCCGATTGTCGCGAGGTTCTCGAGAATCTTGTTCCAGATCCAGTAGCCGGTAATGAAGAAATCAGTCGCGTCAAAACCCTGTGCTGCTCGTAGCTTGATTCCGGGCGGGTCCAACCCGGTATCCTTATCCAGCATGATATGGTTTTTCCACTCGGCTTTATCCAGGACCAGAGCGCGCATCATACTCCAACTGCCCCAGAGTCTCCGACGGAAGTACTGGCGGGACGACACCTCGGTGCCCCAGCTCTCGAGCCCAGTGGAGATAACGCCGGGGATCATGACAATGGGATGTTTGGCTTCAATACCTTGCGATTGAAGTTGTAGACCAACGGAAAAGGAATCATAGCTGACAGCATCGCGCTCATGTTGCTACCCGACAGGATACAATCAGATTAGATCACCACCTGCATGAAGGAAAGAGGGGTTGACATACCGAGAACTCCCTCACATCTTTCACAATGCCCTGCGGTATGACGTCCATCAACGTATCCAAGTTCAGATCCATCAGCGCATCGAGACTGATCACATCTTGCTGATTAGCGAAAAACGCGGCGACGAGGATTCCGAAGAGGCCGCCCAGCACGAAGATGAGACCATTGCGACGTTTACTCCGCGGCTTCGTCACGAATGACTCTTTTTTCGGTTTCTCGGGTGGCGTCGCAGTTTGTGTAGCGGGGACTACTTTGCTTTCATCCTGAGACGAGTCCGTAGGAGAGGATTGGACATTGTCGTCCTTGGCCAGGCGACGGCGGAGCATATGGGCGATCGCCAGGAACACGGAGGACAATGGGTGGAATTGACAGCCGCGGATAGAAGGAAGGAGGTAGACTCTTCAGTATATATCAAGTAAGAAAAATACTCAACAGCACAGATAGCCAGAAAAGTGAAGTCGTAAGGAAGAAAAAGGAGAGAGAGAAGGATAAAAAACACACACACACACAAGGTGAAGAAGTTGAGAAACGGAAATCACATGCTTTCTGAAGTTGCAGTCAAAATGGGACGTCATGAGATTTAATTCCAAAATTACGAAGTCCGCTTTCCTCCCTTTTGTACCTGAAACTCTCTTACTCTTACTTCCTCAACCCCCTCAATTCCCCACACTAGCTCTGAACTATTCCAACACCCTCCCGCACTTGTCGCTCATTTCCAAAAACACGATTGAAAGATTGGATTCTCTCAATGAGTCCGAATACGCGACCGGAATGAGCCATGACGCTACTCCTACCGCAGTCTCCGCTGCACCACCGGACCTCCGCTACATCCGCTATGACGGCGCACGCGAGGACGAATATGTCGCTGCCATGCGGCAACTGATCTCCAAGGACCTCTCCGAGCCGTACAGCATCTACGTTTACCGGTATTTCCTCTACCAATGGGGCGATCTCTGTTTCATGGCCATGGACGACACACTGCCGGACCCGATGGTCGGGGTCGTGGTCTCGAAGCTGGAACCACATCGCGGTGGTCCATTAAGAGGGTATATTGCAATGTTAGCGGTGCGCGAAGAACATCGAGGCCGGGGAATCGCAACGAAATTAGTCAGGATGGCGATCGATGCGATGATTGCGCGTGATGCGGATGAGGTTTGTTGCCCGTGTTCCACAGGGTTGCACATGTCCATTCATTCAGAAGGGAATATACTGATAGGAGGGGCCTGCAGATCGCGCTCGAGACCGAAATCACAAACACGGCGGCCATTAAATTGTATGAACGACTGGGGTTCCTACGCAGTAAAAGATTGCATCGATACTATTTGAACGGTAACTCGGCCTATCGCTTGGTGCTATATCTCAAAGAGGGCGTGGGGTCTATGCGGACGGCGTTCGACCCGTACGGGCCTCCTGATATGTCCGGTCCAATTGCTCCTCCGCCGCCAGCTTTGCTTCATGGAAATGGCAATCAATGATGTATGAGCCTGGATGGCAGTTCGCTTCTTGTGAATAACCTATAGACTACGCAATTACGACAATAGAGAATATGAGTGACGAATACATACTTAACGAGCTATCGCAATGAACAGTAGGGCTGGGCAGCCGAAGTCTATTTCTATAGTATCTATACATGGCATTATATAGAAAAGAGGAGGGGTTAGTATACAGAGGTATAATGTACAGAAAAGTCAGACGTAAAAGCGCTGTTGAGTTCATACATGATATGTGAATAGCTGCTGGACAAATCTGTAGCCCGTACAGCCAATATTATATGCAGTAAATTCGTGGTGAGTCACTGATCAACAGGTACAGCCCACAGCTCAACCCCAGTCAAGGCAGTTCAGCCACGTTTACTGCAGATAGTTCGACTTTCTTTTCACAGAGACTTTAATAGCATTTTGCATTAACCACTGTGTTGGTCGAGGGACCGACTTCCACTCTTGATCCAGCACGGCTGCGGCCTCCAACATGATGTTCAATGACCTCGAGGGCCGGTACATTGCACCGACTTCCGTATCACGTAATACCAGTTTAGAAGCGAGGAGTTGCTGCTTCTCACGCTCTCCACCAGTAGGCTTGAATCCAGTTGCAAGAGAAGCGACTGGATTCCGATTGAACTCAGATGGTACAAGATCCGCAAATGACTCATTTAGGGGATAATTCGGAAGATGAAGATCAATCCCCACGATGACTTTGCCTGCACTGGTCAGCCAAAGTTGATTGTATTGACCTCCAGTCTTTCGGAATGATGCATTGCGGAGTAACGATGTAAGCACAGACTGTCGCATGTTGTATGTAACGCCTCTATACATGCACGCATATCTCCATAGCACACGACAGATGTTGTAGTGTCGCCCTTTGAAGGCCATCAGGAACAGTTTCTCCCAGGAGTCTTTTGTGAGCACACGCTCAGGACGGTCGATGAATTGAAATAAGAACCGGAGGAGGGAAAAGATATCCTTGCGAAACAGAAGGACAATTTGGTTGACGGTAGAACCCTTGACAGCAAAGCCTTGCTGTTTGCATATTTGGAGTAACCGTTCCATGGCCGAAAAGTCCTTCCGCCGGGCAGCAACATTCAACATTTGATTGATTAAGGATGGAGGGAACCAGTTGGCACCATGTGTGTCAATAAGCATATTAATGAACGAGTCAACGCTTTTCCCGCCTTCGAGATGTGCACGAAAAGTGTTTTGTATCGTCGCCTGCAGCGCCGTCCGCATGGCGCTAGATTCGTTGAGATAGCCTTTTTGCATCATGCGCGAGACAAGATTCGCCTTCGCTTTGGGGGAGACAAGGCAGTCAAGGAATGTAAGCCAGGTATATGGATTTGGCCGGATATTCAATCGCGGCATTGTCAGCAGAAACTGGCGAAACAGCCGCATATCCTGCTTTTGGGCCGCAAACTTCAACAAGATATTGAAGGAGTCTACAGTTACGACGTGCTCGGCTCTCAGGAAGATCATGCGCGCGTACCTCACAAACTCATGGTCAAGGAGGAAAGACAGTGCTGTATTCAGTGCAGCAGTCGACAAAAAGCCATGGTACCGCTCGTTTTGAAACAATGAAAGGAGGGATTTGGCCACTTGCTTTTGATGAGAGCTGCCCGGAGAGGCCTTGTAAGAAGGCAATGACCGCGCGACTTCATCCACATGCTCCGCAAATTCCCTGACACTCGACAAATTCTGGGAAAGGGGGAGCAGCGTTCCCAAATTCGCAGGATCCTTAGCGGACTTGTAAAAGTCCCATACACCCCGAATAATGGGGACCGGAATATTTTTCCGCGCCATGGTTTCCAATGAAGGAAATACCGGGATCGGTGGCTTTCTGATATCGACCAAAGGGTCACCCATTTCTTGAAGGCTCTTTGCATGCGTAATACGATCCCCCACCAGCTCCACCACTCGTTCGGAACCAGACAATACAACCTTCCTGTATTGGCCTTCGCTCTCTCGTGGATGTAGCACATGGACCTTGCACCCATTGTGCACTGGCACGTACCAGACATTTTCCTTCATGGCCATGTCCGTAGCACCCGCAAGAAGAGCAACAGTCTCCTCCGGTAATAGCATCTCCTTGTGTTTTATGCCTCTCTTCTTCCACACCGTAGTGTTCTGCTCCATTCGCTCGAACAACTCCTCTAGCTTTGTCCACAGGGTCCACCTCCATTTCGCCTCGGGGTTCATCCGCTTAGTGAAAAACAGCCGACACCTTAACTTCCGCCTGTCCCGAACAGATAATGATTTCATAGTAGCACGTGCTCTCTCATGAGACTGAATCTTGGGAGGGGCTGCCAGTGGCCTCGCATGCGTTTTCAGGTCTCTCCCTCTTGGGGCACTGGATTTCGGAGGAGGCGGTGGTGGTGATGGACGGGAAGGTTTCGAGTCGATATCGGCAAATATATTAAACAAGCGTTTTCGTCTCTCTTCAAGCGACTTGCTCCGTTCCGGGGAATCGGGCAACGAAGGCTTTGAACTCGTAGTATTTTTTGGTGGACTCACGCCGTCGCGTTCTACTTTACCCCCTATCCGCCCATTGTGTCCACTCTCTGGTGTAGCAGTAGGCTCATCGTTCTGTTGTGAGCTTCCAGCCTCAATCACATCGGTTTTGGCTGCACTGTTACTAGACGCCCACCGTTTCGTAGAACCCCCAAGTGACAATCTCCGGCCCGTCCCCGGAACAAACCCGCTCGTGTTGCGTATTCTTGCTGTACATTTAGGAGTGCATTTAATTGACGAGATTGACCGCCGCTGGCGGACTGCAGCTGTGAACCAACGGGGGTAGAGGAACAGGAGAGGTTCGTCGGGGCCAGCCGCAACGGTGTCTAAGACGGTGGATAATACACGTCTTTTCAGACACGGGCGGCCACGCGATAACATCGAGGAGTATACGGAGCAAGTTCCTGAGTCATGGAAAGGGTGAAGAATCGCGGGCGAGTTGGATTTGCTCCTGTCTAAAGAGGTCGTTTTTTCAAGCTGCGGGCGAAGCTCTCCAGCGCGGAGATTCTAGAAAATGTTTGCCGTGTCGGAATGGCAGGCGGTCAGTGCTCTCCAGGAATCGGACCGATACTCGCCGTAAAACAAGATGTATAGACTCCGCAGATTTACTATTCGCATATAAGAGTACCATGATAAAGTAGAAGTGGTTATTGTTGATATGAGAAGCCAATAAGAATATATAGGTAAGTCGTACGGAATGGGTGGCCTCAAGGATGTTCACCTGACCCGTACTCTGGACCAGCCAAACCGGGTATACTACATGGAATCAAGATGTATACTGATAAATGTGACCTTCGCGCCCAATCTCCGCCGCCCGAGGAATGCCTTTAATTTCTCCGCCATTGTCTATTGGCTTGTTGGAGAATTTCCCCGAGGACCTAGACAAAAGACTCTCCCTCTTCGCTTCCGGAGTCAAATCCAACATCTCGGACATTTCCCGAGCAGGCACTCGTCCCTCAGGAGCGAAGACCTCCGGCCCAGTGAGATAACGCTTTGCTGTGGCTACAGCATTTGAGAGGTAGTCTTTTTGCCGTCGGCTCTCCTCCGCCTCCATACCACTGGACTCGGGCTCCTTCCCAGATAACTCCTCGATGATGCCAGTCATATAGGTCACTAGTTGCCACCGCGAGGCTTGGAAGACAAACAGTGACATTATATCTTGCATCTAGATATCTTCAGCAAAAGCGTAATAAATGCATGAGTTAACATATGCTTACCTTTCCATCTAGGTAGTATAGCTCTTGGCCTCCCTCCGCCACAAACCTTCTGAGGATATCGAACTTCTCACGGTCTATCTGTGCATTTTTCAGGGCATACATGAGAGTTGGAATATTTCCGATCTCTTCCAGAGGACCTTCTCCATCCACAGTGGTCGTCGCTCGACTCAAGTGAGTGGATGGCCCTTGGGAACCCCGCCCTGCACTTGCTGCTCTTTTCTTCTTGGCAGTATGAATAGTAAAGTAGTCCTCATTGAGCATATGAGCCATTTCAAAGCCTGACCGGCCGCGGCGACTTCTTTCCGAAGCTTTCTTAACCCGTAGTCTGACCCATCGC